TAAATGATTTCCGGGGGGGGCCTTGTATGGGAGCTATGTCCAATTATGGACCGATCCAGAAGATTTTTTCTCTCAATAAATTCTATTGACATACGATTTTAATTTGTAAAATTTTGTGAAGATATCAACATTCTGACGGAAGATATTAACAAAAAACTCATTTTCCGGGAATATCTGCTTTGGTATGGGAGGTATATGAAATTGTGGACCGATTCCGGTCATTCCTTTTATGAAATTATCTTGCATAGTTTTCGAGAAAATTACATCAGAATGTGTAAAAAATGCTTATTTTTTCGGAGTTGTTTTAAATTTTGATTCATAACTTTTCCCGATGTGAACCAATTTTTTGCTTATTTTCAATACCAAACAACTTAGGAAAATTAAGAACATTTTGGTTGAATTTTGTTAAATTCTATTGCTTCGTTTTATCGTGAGCGTGTTTTACACAGACAGACGGACATAGCTAAATCGACTCAGAATTTGATAAGGACCCAGAATATATATATACTTTGTTGGGTATCAGATGAATATTTCTTGGTGTTACACACGGAATGACAAAGTTATATATTTATACCCTCTATCACCACTGATGGTGGTGGTGGGTTCTGCGTTCACATTATAAATGTTTATTAAGCTGGCCACACACCATAATATTCAGTAAAATGACATGTAAATATTATAGTGTAGATACAAAATGAAATAAAACTTACTGAAAATACGGATGGAAAATTGAAAATCTAATGATTTTTAAAAATTTTTTTGTTATTTAAACAAATATAAACAAATTTCAAATAAAAACAGAAACAAAATAAAAATTTACGTTTTTTCATTGAATTTTTATACCCACCATCAAAAAAGATGGGGGGTATATTGATTTTGTCATTCCGTTTGTAACACATCGAAATATTGATCATAGACCCACAAAAGTATATATATTCTGGGTCCTCATTAAATTCTAAGACGATCTAGCCATGTCTGTCCGTCTGTCCGTCCGTCTGTCTGTCTGTCTGTTGAAAGCACGATAGAGTCCGAATGGAAAGAGCTAGAGGGTTGAAATTTCACATAAATATTTTTTATAGGTAAGGTTTCCTTGGTATTGGAAATGGGCAATATCGGTCCACGTTTTCGGATAGCCCCCATACAAGTGGCCCCTCGAAAAGCAGCTTTAACAGCCATAACTTGTTTAAAAATACGAATATTGCGATGAAATTCGACATAAGTAAGTTTCTTATGATCCAAAATCACTATGTAAAATTTTATGAGGATCGGTCCATAATTGACCCTACCCCCCATATAAGGTCCCCTTCAGAAAATGACTTTAACGCTCATTACTGGCTTAAAAATACTAGTATATAGATGAAATTTGACATAAGTAAGTTTCATACGAGTCAAAATCTATCTAAAAAATGTTATGAGGATCGGTCCATGATTGACCCTACCCCCCATATAAGGTCTCCTTCAGAAAATGACTGCAACGCTCATTAATGGTTTAAAAATACGAGTGTAGCGTTGAAATTCGACACAAATAAATTTAATACGATCCAAATTCTGTCTACCAAATTTTATGAGGATCGACCCATAATTGACCCTACCCCCCTATATAAGATCCCCTTCAGAAAATTACTTTAACGCTTATAACTGGCCTAAATATACGAGTATATAGATGAAATTCGACATAAGTAAGTTTCGTTCGAGTCGAACGAGGTTTGATGGTGGGTATATAAGATTCGGCATAGCCGAATATAACACTCTTACTTGTTTTTTTTAAATTGAAGTTTCATTTTATTTCAAATATGTTAGTGTTAAAACAAAATATATTTTCTGTTTGATTTTTTTGATAATCATACCAATTTTCATTTTATTTTGTTTTGGCAGTATGAAATAAAAATCTAACGACTTCTATATAAATATAAATATGTTAGATATAAATATAAATATGTTTGTAATTAAAATATGTTATATTTATTTATTTTGCTTCATAGCAATCTTTATATCAAAAAGCACCAAAAATCCCATATTTTTTTCTTCGTTTATTTAAAAGCGAGATTTAAAAGTATAGTAACACGTGAATAAAGCAACCAAAAAGTCTGCGTTCATTTGTTTAGTTTTGATAGTATCGTTACATCTTTTGTCCTTTTTTCTTGTTTTTGCACACTTTCAGTTAATGGTTATTACAATAGATCGTTTGCATATTTTTGTATAAAAGTTGTAAGAATAATAAAAATGGATAGCAAAGGTAAAGAAATTAGTGTTTCAGAAAGAAAAAATTATAATCAAATTGTGGAAAGAAGGAAAAAGCTTCAGAAAACATTTTTTTCTGATCGGTCCATAAGTGGTCATAGCTCCCATACAAGGTGCCCTCCCAAAAATCACTTAAAACCACATAACTCATTAGTAAATGAAGATATCCATAGAAAATTTGGTACATGTATTGCTCTTATATACAGGAATATTACTGTGAAAGTTTTTTTGGATCGGTCCATAATTGGTCATAGCTCCCATACAAGGTCCCCTCCCGAAAATCACTTAAAACCACATAACTCTTTAGTAAATTAAGATATCCATATAAAATTTGGTACAAGTATTGCTCATATGCACAGAAATATTACTGAGAAATTTTTTTCCGATCGGTCCATAACTCGTAATAGCTCCCATACAAGGTCCCCTCCTCACTTAAACGTACATAACTCATTACTAAATTAAGATATCTATATAAAGTTTGGCACAAGTATTGCGCATATACAGAGAAATATTACTGTGAAATTGTTTTCCTATCGGTCCATAATTGATTATAGCTCCCATACAAATAGTGATACCCATAAAATATTTGGCATAAATACTATTTTTGTACACATAAATGTTATTTCAAAATTCTTTCACGATCGGTCCATCCTTGGTCATAGCTCCCATACAAGGTTCCCTCACGAAAATCACTTAAACGCATATAACTCATTACCAAATTTGACATTTAGAAAAATATTGCTCTTATATACATAAATTACACTATAAAATTGTTTTACAATCGGTCCATATTTGGTCATAGCTCCCATACAAGGTCCTTTTACGAAAATCTCTTAAACGCACATTACTCATTACCTAATAAAGCTATTGATAAAAAATTTGGCACAAATATTAGTTTTGTATACAAAAATTCTATTTCAAGATTTTTTCACGATCGGTTCATAACATGGGTGCGGTCGGTCCCATACAAGGATACAAAATTTGACTGAAATATAGCTTTTATGAACAAAAATTTAGCTTAAAGAATTTTTTACGATCGGTCTATAATTGGTCATATCTCCCATACTAGATCCTGCCCCTAAAAGCGCTTTAACCGTATTTAACTTGCTCAATTTGTGTAGAACAAAATTATATATGTATTATATAAATCTTTAAATCTTTCACACACATGCAAATTACTAAATATCGCTAATCGCTATAAAAATATAAAGAAAATGGCGTTTGTAATTAAGCTAATTAAGCTGTTTAAATCCAGGGATTTTTCTATTGAAAACATAAGAAAACATATTTTTACAAATATTTGATCAATTAGAAAAGTATTAATATAAGTAGCTGGTGGAGGGTATTTAAGATTCGGCTCAGCCGAATAAAGTACTCTAACTTGTTTTTTTTTTCATTAGGGTTGACAAATAATACAGTATTCTGTCAGTATGGTGGGTGGGTATCAGAAAGGTATTTGCTATACCTTAAGCTATGCCAGTTTCATCAACCGTTTCTCTGCATGTCTTTCGTTTTCTGTATGGATTGCTTTGTAGATTATAAGCTACCTAAAGTAAAATCCCTTGTAGCTGATTCTGAATTATTTTGTTGTATGATTATTTGGGAACTCAACACAATCCAACCCCCCTCCAACGACGAGCACAGCTGAAATAATAGGTAGCATTGTTCCCATCGTAATACCCCTACTCTAAGAATCGTTACAGCATGTAGAGCCCGGATTAAGTGAGAACACATAAAAGGGGACTTTTTGGTACTTTTTCGTTCTTCAAAAGGTACTTTTTGAATTTTCTATAATACTGAACCTAGGAATACGAACCCATAAATGGGGACTTTTTAGTGCTCTTTCGTTCTACACAAGGTACTTTTTGATTTTTCTTAATATTAAACCTAGAAATATGATATTAAGATTAGGTGAGAACCTACGAAAGGTTCATTCTTCAAAATGTTCTTTTTTGAATTTTCTACCATACAGAACATAGAAACATGAAATTAAGTGAGCGAGAACATATAAATGGGGACTTTTTCCTTCTTCATGAACCTAGAAACATAAAATTAATCATTCAGGGTCCTAAGTTAGCGAAAATCTGCAGGAATGTTGGTACTATTTCGTTCTATGACTGGTATTTTTTGGCTTTTATACACACAGGTAGCACCCCGATTGATTGAAAATCTTTAAAATTAGACTTGCCGGTACTTTTTTCTTTAACGACTGGTATTTTTAAATGTTTGTAATAAAATTTATACTGACTGTTTTTTAACACATCATGGTGAAGGGTATATAAGGTTCGGCACAGCCGAATATACTTGTCTACTTGTTTTAGTTTTTATTTGTCTACAAGAAATGAAAACGAACAGCTGATTATGATAAATACCCAAACTGAATTACGTACAGCTTGTGTAATTCGCAGCTAAAATTTTGTATTGCCAATTATGTATTTCTGTTTGTAATTGGGGATGAGAGCGTTAATAATGAATAAACGCATCATTTGAACGGGGTATAACATTATTCATTCAGCTTCCGCTACAACTTAGTAGGTAGGGATATATTTTTGCACTTTACTTTTCTAAGAAGCCTGGGCAATGCAGGTACAAGTAGCTAGTACGTTTATGTATTTATAAGTAAATTAAGTTATGTCTATTGCTTACAGGCAAAAATCAGTTTCAGTTAACATGTAGGTGCAATTTATTAAAAATTTTGCATTACTGGTTTAACTATTTCCTGATTTGAGTCTGTCAGCAGGAGTTTATTTAATGCAAACCTGGCATCATGTTGTTGATTGGAAATATTATTTCGCAAGTTATTTTGTTGCTGCTGGGTTTTTGGATGAACCCGATGAGCCGATGACTTCTGTTGGTGAAAATGGTGTCGTTGAGTTAGGGATTGCAAATGTAAGCCAGTCACAAAGTTACGATAACGATCATTATTTATACAGGAAAATTCGGCGGAACTAACTTCATCGCTCAATGATGAGCCAATTGACCACATATTCTAAAAATAATTAGCTTAATAATAAAATTTATAACTTAAATAGAGAAAATATTTCGAAAATCAATGAGAGAATGTTTCAAAACTTTTAAAATTAATTTGTAATAGGTACGATAAAAATTTAAATTATGGTCTGAATCTAAAAATCAGAGGCAAACATATTTTTTCCAAAAGTTAATTGGATTTGTACACATACCAGTGCACTGGGGTTTAGAAATTAATTTCATCAGCCAAATGTCTAATTTTTGGCTAACACCTTTTACGTTTTTTCAAATTTACATTATTTATGGAAAAACAACTCTAATTTTTCTAGTCGGCAATATACATAGCATATATGTACATTAGAGTGCTTCAAAAAAAAAAACGCAGTTGCGAATTTTTTCGAATACGTATTAATTATTTACTGTTGTACATTTTAAACAAAGTATTTTCAGAGTATTATAGACCAGATAATATAAGATATATATTCCAAATTTTATTCAAATCGGACATTCTTAACCCATAAAATGTGAAGTTTAAAGGTAAAATTTTGCAATATTGTGAATTCTCAGTATAACGAAATATTATTTATTTGTTGGCCAATAACAGCGAAATAAGCGAAATTAATCCTTCAAAACGCATGGGACAAATTTAACCCGGAAGTTCAAAAATGGTAAAAACATTATCCATGAATAATGTTTTATGTATTTAGAGAAATAACAGAAATAAAACAAAAAAAAATTTGCATTAGGTATAAAATCTTATGATTTAACCCTTTTTGAGCATATAAAGTTTGTACATAAATTATCAGTTTTAAAAACAAAATTTTTCTTTTAAAAAGAAATCCTCCAATAGAAAAATTTGTATATCTGAGAAACTATTAGAGCTAGAATCTTCAAATTTTACATGAAGAACTTTGACATTCATGTGAACATTTAAAGAGAAAAGGGTGGACTTTCAATGGGGGATTGGCACCTCCCATATGAATTAAATATAAAATTTCGTATATCTGGGAAACTATTAAATCTTAATTAACGTTTAGAAAAATAGGCGAACTTGCAATAATTTGAATGGCATCTCATTATACATACATATATCTATATAAAAAAACTATTATAGTTAGAATCTTCAAAATTGTTAAGTGGGGATTTTTATTTATACCCACCACCACCATCAGTGGTGATAGAGGGTATATATAACTTTGTCATTCCGTGTGCAACACCAAGAAATATTCACCCAACAAAGTAAAACACGCTCACGATAAAACGAATTAATAGAATTTAACCAAATTCACCCTAAATGTTCTTCAAAATCGGTTCACACCGGGAAAAGTTATGAATCAAAATTTAAAACAACCTCGAAAAAATAAGCATTTTTTACATATTCTGATGTAATTTTCTCGAAAACTATGCAAGATAATTCCATGAAAATCACTATACATTCGTTTCTACACAAGAGCTTAATCCCTGCTGAAAATTACCAGAATCGGTCCACAATTTCATATACCTCCCATATAAAAGTACATATTCCCGGAATATGGGTTTTTTGTTAATAACTTCCGTCACAATGTCGATATCTTCACAAACAAATTAAAATCTTATGTCAATAGAATTCATTCAGAGAAAACATTTTATGGATCGGTTCATAATTGGACATAGCTCCCATATTAGGTCCCCTCCCGAAAATCACTTAAACGCATATAATTCATTACTAAATTAAAATATCCATATATAATTTGGTACAAGTATTGCTCTCACATACAGAAATATTACTATAAAAATTTTTTCCGATCGGTCTATAATTGGTCATAGCTCCCATACAAGGTCCCCCTCCCGAAAATCACTTAAAACCACATAACTAAATAGTAAATGAAGATATCCATAGAAAATTGCTCTTATATACAGGAATATTGCTCTTATATACAGGAATATTACTGTGAAAGTTTTCTTGGATCGGTCCATAATTGGTCATAACTCCCATACAAGGTTCCCTCCCGAAAATGACTTAAACGCGCATAACTCATTACTAAATTAAGATTCCATATAGAATTTGGTACAAGTATTACTTATATGCACAGAAATATTACTGAAAATTTTTTTCCGATCGGTCCATAACTGGTCATAGCTCCCATACAAGGTCCCCTCCCGAAAATCACTTAAACGTACATAACTCATTACTAAATTAAGATATCCATATAAAGTTTGGCACAAGTATTGCTCATATACATAGATATATTACTGTGAAATTGTTTTTCTATCAGTCCATAATTGATCATAGCTCCCATACAAGGTCGATTTCAGAAAAACGCTTAAAGGCACATAACTCATTACCAAATAGTGATACCCATAAAATATTTGGCATAAATACTATTTTTGTACACATAAATGTTATTTCAACATTCTTTCACTATCGGTCCATCCTTGGTCATAGCTCCCATACAAGGTTCCCTCACGAAAATCACTTAAACGCACAAAACTCATTACCAAATTTGACATTTAGCAAAAATATTGCTCTTATATACATAAATTACACTATAAAATTGTTTTACGATCGGTCCATATTTGGTCATAGCTCTGATACTAGGTCCCCTCCAGAAAATCACTTAAATGCACAATATTCGTTACCAATGATATACATAATTGTTCATAGCTCCCATACAAGGTCCTTTTACGAAAATGTCTTAAACGCACATTACTCATTACTAAATAAAGCTATTGATACAAAATTTGGCACAAATATTAGTTTTGTATACAAAAATTCTATTTCAAGATTTTTTCACGATTGGTTCATAAAATGGGTGCGGTCGGTCCCATACATGAAGAACTTTGACATTCATGTAAACATTTAGAGAATAACGGGAGGACTTTCAATGGGGGCTTGGCACCCATATATGAATTAAATAAACTATTGTAGTTAGAATTTTCAAAATTGTTAAGTGTGTTTTTTATTTATATTGCTTTCAGGGTAGCAAAGCACACTGGGTATAACTAGTACATATATATATAAATGAATGTGTGTTTGTTTGTATGTTTATATAAACGGCTGAACCGATTTTCTTGAAATTTTCACAGCGTATTTCTGTATGTCTGGAATAGGTAATAGGCAGCTTTTTATTTTGAAATTTCAAGTGGGCGGGAAGCCACGCCATATTAAGGAATCAAATCCGTGTATTGGAGATAATATAACAGTTAGAATCCTCAGATTTTGTCGGAGCCATTTTAATGTCAATATGATTATTTAGGACAAAAAGTAGGCGCACTAGCGTACGAATAACTTCAACATCCATTTAAACATTTTGGGTAATAAATTGGCGGACTACCCATGAGGGGAGCGGCACCTCCCATATTAACTAAGTACAAAAATTTGTTTATCTGGGAAACTAATAGAACTGAATTATGTAAGTTTTGCACAAAGAACTTAAATATTCATCTGAACATTTTGGAGGAAAAAGAGCGGACTTTCATCTGGGGGGCTTGAAGCCCTCATATTATTTAAATAGAAAAATTCGTATTTAGATTAGATTATTCACCCTTTTTATGGATTACATTTAAATCTTAATAAACGTTTAGAATAATTGGCGAACTTGCAATAATTTGAATGGCATCTCATTATACATAGCTAGTATATATTTATATATATATATATATATATATATATATATATATATATATATATATATATATATATATATATATATATAAATATACAGTGATGTTCCGAAAAATAGAGCCACCTCCTCTTTCGAAGTTTCTTTTTACTTAAAATCCCTCCAATGAAGAATTGAGTTGGAAAAACTAACTGAAATTTTGTACTGATCAGTTATGAATATAATACCATTATTTTTGCAATAATTTACGCGTCACTTTTCGTAATTTTAATGAGATTTTAAATTAAGCTATATAAAAATGCAAAAATATAAAAATTTAACAATTTGTAGACAATTTTCAAATTGAAATCGATACAAATTGTAAGTTAAAGGCTTATTATTACAACCCTAATATAATCTCATTATAAACAATAATTTTGAGTCCAAAAAGATGCAGAAGCAAACTTTGCCGGCGAGACCGCAGAAAAATTATAAAAATACGCCATGTTCAAGACAAATTGTTGAAATAATTCTTTGGTCCAAAAAAATAGTATAAACTGTAAAAATGCAATTTAAACCAGAAAATATCAAGAAAGAATAAGAAATAACACTTCTTTTTGGAGCAAGAAATATTGAGTCATGTAAAAAAATTGCGCTTTTGAGGACACAATGGTAGGAATCTCCTTAAAAAGTGGTATTTCTCATTCAGCATAGCATCATTAATTATAATTATGGAATATTTACGGTCCTATCTTCCCTCAATCCGAAATAGAGACCATGTTCCAAACAAGAAAAAATAACCCCATACCATTACGTATCCGCCACCATGTTCAATGATCTTCATAGCACATTGGGGACAAAATCCAGTGTTGGAACGTCTACGTATAGCTATACGGATCATATCAGAATAAAATAAATATACTTTTTTACATCTGACCACAAAATATTTCGATTCCTGCTCAAGGGGAGATTTCAAATGTTTTTGAAAAATTTTATTTTTTCTTTCAGGATCTTTAAAGTACCATATAATACTTTTCTACTAATTTTACCCTTTTAATAATTTTTATACATGAGAGGTCTTACTATGAAGCTGGCAACATCTAAATTATATTCCCTTTTAAGGTTATACGGAACACACAAAAGTGTCATCCTCTGCATGAGTCTGATTTTTTCGCTTAAAAAAAGATGTAATTTTGTATTTGTTTTCCATATTTTTTGGCTTAAACTTATATTTTACAGCATCTTCTATTACTTTCTTGGATCCATATGGTCAATCAAGCTTCGAAAAAACAAATGTTTACATAAAAATTAATGTAAAAAGTATACTTTTATATTAAGAATTTCATTTATAATTAACATTTTAAAAATAAATACAAAACGCAGTTAAGAAATCTCAGCTTGTGTTCCCAGTGTAATACTGTGAATCGTTCCTATTATTTTTTCCAATATCAA